TTGTGCCATAAAAAAATAGATAAAAAAGTTTAAATTAAATTTAAGAATAACAAAAAAAATAAAATAAAATTATAAAAAAAAAATAAAATAAAAAAATTTTCCCTGCGCCCGGGCTTGAACCTGGTACCTCAGGCATACCACGCGAGTGCTTTGCTCTGTCGGCCATTGCGACTGTTGGAGCGCCGCGAGCAAAAAGGCATACAGTTGCTTTTCATAGGGGATGAATTGGCATACTATGTCATCAACTGGTAATCCGAGAATCCGGTAATTAGAGAATAAGCGAAAAGTTTGCTCTCAAAAATGGAACATAATCCAGAAGTACGGGAACGCAAAAAACCACATTTCGTGCCCAGAATTTGAGAAACAGCTGATTCGCGTTGTTTTTGTTTTTATCACTTAAATGCAAACTCTTGGAAATTGAATTTTTGTTCCACAAATTTGATTTTAAGTATATAAAGATTAAAAATACATTCACTATTCCTTAAAAGCACCAAGTAAATGCAGGCAACATGTAAACTTAAAACAGCTGATATGCACTTTGACACTTTATCCATTTTTACCCGGAGAAAAAGTCCGGGCTGTTCGGGCAGGAAGAAGAAGACACTTACGATCCAATATGTTGCAATTTTCGCTCTCTATTACCCATTTTGTTGAGTACGGGAATGATTTCTGGGCTATTTTGGGCACCCGCTGGATCCGACGTTGCGTACAGCGTACGACTAAAATTTCGAAGCATTTCCAAATCCCCATTTGTCTAGTTATCAGTGTTGCCAAAACATTTTTTTATTTTTACCAAAAACGCCAGAAAAAGTGACTAAATTTAATAAAAATCAAGTAAGAAAGTCTACGTCCGGGCGGAGCCGAACATTAAATACCCGGCGCAAGTATTAAATATATGTTTTTCACATCTCCAAAATCTACCGCTACATGGTAAGCCGCGGTGTATCAATTTTGAGTAAATTAGCGTCCTTAAATTTCGAAATATTGAAGTTTCAAGCATTCCTGAAATTTGCCGTTAAATAAAAAGCGGCCGTAATTTTTTTCTGATTTCAATAATTTTCAACATTTTGCTTTTATGTGGTAAGCACAATAACCGTACTGAGTTTGGTAAAAATTGGTTGAACGGTTACCGAGATACATATATGTGATCATAAGTAGGCGGTGCCACGCCCATTTTCCAAAATTTTATCATAAACGTATTTCT